CTAATAACTTTACGATTTCAATATTGTTCAAATAACGAAATCACAAGTTCCTTAGATTCGAGACAAGTATATAAACACACCATCTTTTCCACTGAAGAGTCCACTTCACTTCTTTCAACAGTAAAACACAAATACAAAGAAAAGAAATCAAAAATGAAGACACCATCGTCCTCTTCCTTTTGTCCTTGTTCGCTGCAGTTGCTCTTGCTCTCGTAGCAGACAAAACCCGTTAATGAAGAAAATGTAGACAAACGTACACCTCATGATTCCGATTACAAGGATAACAAATACGAAGATGACTACTACAAGAAAAAGGAATACTACACGACGAAGAAATATTAAAAAATTGATTAGACGGATTTACCAAAAATTTAGGTTTTTTTTTTTGAATAAAGAAAATTTCAATGAAAATGATCTCATCATTCCTGTAAATAATTTAATGGTCAATCGTTTTTTTTTCGCTTAATTTTTAACCGTAAAAAATTAATAAAATAAAAATTTTTTTAAATTCTTTGTTTTAAATGAAAATTAAGATAATTAAATCTCTTTTCATCAAAAAAAATAGCTTGTTAAATAATAAAATTATCGCAGCCGATATTTCATATTCGTGAATTTTTTTTTTTCACCGTTATGTAATGAAATATAGTTGATGAATACTTAAGTATACGCATGCGTACAGTACATGATTATTTCATTTAGTTTTTTACGCAAGAATCATGTAAAGAATAATGAATGAAAGCAAATTTTTTGCATCAATAAAATATCATAATGAATTTTTTTTACTTCATGATAAGCATATACTGTATCTTAATAAAAAAAATAAATAAATAATAAATATAAAAGAAATCTGAAAAAAAAAGTATTAAAATTTTCAATTTTAAATTTTACATATTTGAAAATTTTCGTTTAAATACTGTGACGATTTTTTAGCGCATGAAAAGATTTGGATTTGTAGCTAACCAATCAATTTGTTAATTTCAAAAAAAAAAAATTAATTACTATGTGCCATTATATAATATCTTAATATAAATTACCTGCATTTGGTTAAACCGATAAAAATAATTTAATTACATAATATTCATTTTCGATCGTTACATTCTTTATTTGCAAATTTTTTTTTATATAAAAATAATATGTCGCATTTGGTATATTAATGTACACGATATCCATAAACTTTAGGAAATATATAATTATTTAAAAAAATTTAAAACAAAGCAGATGATTTCATTTATTCGTGCTTTGGATTAAAAATGGCATCCATTGATTTCTTATACATTGAAAAACCATTAAACCATTAAAACGTAAAGTTAAAGTAAGGTATCATTGAATTGACAATTTTTATTTCAAATTTACAATTAATTACAGATTCTTTCGTTAAGAAAATAGGAAGCCCTGTTCAGCCAACGTGTAACCTAAAGAAATTGATAATCGCCCCCGAAATTGCTGGGGTCAGGTATCTTTTAAAATTGTTATTTAAGTTTCATAGTCAACCTATAAAAATCTTTGCAATACTAATAAACGTTGTCTTTTTAGCTAAATTATATAATACTTAACTAGAAAATATTAGCTAAAAATGAAAATTGGATAATAAATTAAACGACATAATTAGGATCAAAACGTTGTAAATTTGTCGTGTTTGATTCAATAAAATTTCGTAACTAATAACGGTTAATAACGGTTAATTAACACAATTTTTATTTTTTATTTTTTAAAAAAAAAGAATCTATTTCTATAAAAATATCTTGTTAATTGTTATATCTGGACGAACCATGTAAATACATGAGGAGATAGTAGTGTTAATTTTCGGTCTTGTTTCATGTATTGGGAGATTTATTTTTTTTTTGTATTAATCTTAGAGTTTTAATTCAACTACATGTCGGAACTTTATGTTCTCGGACCACTAATACTATATATTAGATTTTTTTCTTTTTAACTAGATTCATAATCATGGCCGGCCAGGGCCGGCCTTAATTATTATTTGAAAGTAACATATATTTTATTTAATATTTATAAATATCATTATATTTTCTGGAAAATATATTGTATATGTATAGATTATAATGTTTTATTAAATTGGAAGTGGTTGTGATGTTTTTTGTTTTGATGAAAATATTCTTTAATTACAAATTAATTTATCTAAATTTATTATTTCCCATTTTGAACATTGTTTTCGAACGGATTGTCACCGCGGCGAAGGTAAGTCGATTTTTTTTTTTTTTTTTTTTTTTAGTTTATTTTTATTAATATCTTTAATTTTTTATTTAGGTTCAATCGGTTCCCAATCCTAGGCAAGGAACCTTCGAACGGAACCGTCCGGTTCGTCACCGCGGCGAAGGTAAGCCGACTAATTTTTTTTTGATTTATTTTTTATTTATTTTTCTTATTTTGGTAATTATTTTATTACTAATTTTATTTATTTTATCCTTTTTTTTTTTTTATATTTTTTTTTAAAGGTGTGATAGTTTAAAATATGATGCTATATTGAAAAGAAATTTTATGATAAAGATAGTTTCATAAGAGAAAAGGCTGCTGGTTAATTTGTTAACTGGAACAAAAAACTTAAAAGGATTTGAAAATGTAAAAAGATCAAAAATCTTATTATTTTCCCAGAATAGTAGTTGCAAGGCAGCTGCAAAAGTATCAGTGTTAACGTTTTTGGGCTAACCAGCAATAATGATGTAAAGAAGACTAAAAAAATCCTGAGGGTATATTTAAACATTTCCTCTATAAGATGCTATATCTTATATAAGATATTAAAAATGAGAGTCTGTAAAAGAGTGAGGGTCTGGAGGAGGCATTTTAATTGGAGGTGAAAGTTCAAAATCTAGCTCATCTTTAATATCTGAAGGAGAATTTTCAGTGTTAGACAAAGTATTGGTTTTCTAGGTTATACTATTTTTTAATTTGAGTACAAGATCTTCTAAAATTGGTAAAATCTCAAGCAAATTAAGCAAGTTTTTTTATCAAATGACATTATATATAAGGATTGATTATCAAATATAAGATTCTGTTTTATAAAGTGATCAAGATCAACTTGTAATTTAAAATATATAAATATGTATTAACTTTTGAATTTTTGGAATTTATTGATAGTAGATTTACCAATATTTTGCATTAAAGATTTAAGCATCTGATTAATAGATATATTAGTTATACTAGATGGAAGATTACTAACTTTTGCAATAAAGGAGTAATATTTAATTAACTTTTCATTGAAAATAATATAAGGTATTATTTAAATAAAATTGTGAAAAAAGCGAAAATCCTCATAGAATCTAAAATAGAGAATTGTTCTTATTTATCAAATAAATAAACAATTATGCTATAATAAAAGGCTTTTATTTAATTTTAATTTATTAGACTTCTCTATATTATAATATAATTGTTTAATCGCTCATTACAAATTTGAGATGCTATATTAATACCGGTTAAAATAGTCCAAATTAGCTAAAAATTAGATAGTCAATTTTAAGCTGATTTTGGTACTATTTATAGTTAATTTACCTTATTTTTTGATCAATACAAATATGTACTAATAGATGCTAATCGACTCTAATCAGATATAGCTATTCACCATCAATTCAGAACTTAAATAAATTATAAATCAGCTTAAAATTGATCTTAATTCAATATCAATTTAACATCAATTTATAACATAAATCAGCCTAAAATTAATTTTAATTTAGCATCATTTGGCATCAATTCAAAATATAAATAATCATAAATTTGACCACACTTTAGTATCAATTTGACATCAATTCAAAAAAATAAAAATCTATCCCTTCTTACCAAATTATATTTTTTCTATTATAGAAATAAAAAAAATCAGACTATTATTTTGAAAAGTTAACTAAATTCAACTTAAATTTCATTTGATTTTAATAGTTGAAAGCATGTTTCTATTATAAAAAGTAAAAAAAATCAGTTTATTTTTTGTTTATTTTTAAAAAGTTGATTAAAATTCAATTTAGTTTCGTCTAATTTTGATAGTTAGAGGCATATTTCTATTATAAAAAGTAAAAAAATTAGTTATTTTTGTTTATTTTTTAAAAAATAAACTAAAAGTTTCTTTAAATTTTAATAGTTAAAAGCATATTTCTATTATAAAAGTAAAAAAAATCAGTTTATTACTTTGAAAAATTGATTAAAATTCAACTTAAGTTCTTTTGTTCTTATGATAATTTTTTTAGTATTTTGGTAGTATGTAAAAAGAGAAAATTTAAAATGATTATAAAAGAATAAAGTTTAAGTTGAAATTATTTTTTTTTAAAAAGTGAAAAAATTAAGTTTATTCATATAAATATTCTTATATATACCAGAAATAAACTTAAATAGTATATTAAATCAATATTAATAATTATTCTTTTAATTCAGTACGTTCTCCAAATATTTGATAAAATTTTAGCAAATCAATTTATTCTAAAAATTCAGTTTGTTAGAATGATTAAACCTTCATATTTAAGAAATAATAAAACTACCATTTCTTATACTATTGTATCTAAAGAACAATAAACTATTATATCTTAAAAATAATAAAACAATCGTATCTAAAGTATGATAAAAATTATTTCTTAAGTATAATAATATTATTATATCTAAGGAATAATAAAACTATTATTACTTAAATATGATAAACTATCATTTCTTAAGCACGATAAAATCACTGTATCTTAGGAATAATAAAGCCATCATTTCTTAAAAATAATAATATCATTAAACCTAAGGAATTATAAAAAAATTATTTTTTAGAAATGATAATACTATCATACTTAAAGAATGATAAAACTAACATTACTTAGACATGATAAAACCATTATTCCTTAGAAATAATAAAACAATTATACCTAAAAAATGATTAAATATTATATCTTAGGAATAATGGTAATATTATTCTTTAGTTATAATAAAACTATCATTTCTTAGATACAATAAATGCATCATATCAGTAGTTAAAAAGTAGGCTTTTTGGCACAAAATCCTTAAATGTATCCAGAAGGTTATCCTGGGTATCAAAAATTTAACATATAGCATAAACCCATTGTTATTATACATGTGACCTTAAGGAAATCATTTTGCTTTCTTGATTGGTATTCGCTCTGTAAACATTTACTTCCTATATGTAAAAATAAATGCCCACTTTGGCACAATCAAGTCCAAAACCTTTTTGGTTCTCATCCTGGATAACATAAGTTTTTCGCATATATTTTAATCAAATTGCCTCCCACTAGCATACTGCTTAGATAGCAAGAGAGAACAAGCATGAGGAGGAGCAGAGCGATGACGAATGCACGTTCGATATAGGAGAATAAGTATGAGTAGGCAAAGCCCTTTAGGGCGACGCC